TGTATCCTGTGCAGGGGGACGAGGGGGCTGGGGTGGGAATGTGGGGACGGAAGTCCCAGGCTGTTGCATAATAACACATTGGCACCTTGGGAACACTTCCGGATGTGTGGGCTTCTGAAAAGTGAATGGAAATGCCACCATAAATCTGTCACCCCCTCACACTGGGTGGGGGGTATCAAACCCAGGGAAAACATTAGCCCTGCTAAATGGTCAGTGACAAAAAATAAAAAAGAAGAGAAGGAAGGGAAAGGAAGAAAGGCAAGGAAGGAAGGAAGGAAGGAAGGAAGGAAGGAAGGAAGGAAGGAAGGAAGGAAGGAAAGGAGGGAGGGAGGAAGGAAGGAAGGAAGAAAGGAAGGGAGGAAGGAAGCAAGGAAGGATGGAAGGAAGGAAGGAAGGAAGGAAGGAAAGAAGGAAGGAAGGAAGGAAGGAAGGAAGGAAGGAAGGAAGGAAGGAAGGGAGGAAGGGAGGAAGGCAGGAAGGGAGGAAGGAAGGAAGGGAGGAAGGAAGGGAGGAAGGAAGGGAGGAAGGGAGGGAGGAAGGGAGGGAGGAAGGAAGGAAGGAAGGAAGTCACTCAGATGGGGCCGCAGAGAGGCAGAACAGAAAAAGCAAGCGCTCTGCACTTCGCCTGGAGATAGAATCACACCTCTGTGAGCTGTGTGACCTTGGGTAAGTGAAGACATCACTGTAGGTCTCAGATCCCTCACCTGGACACAAGAGACCTCAATAGGTTCACATTATACAGAGATGTATGGTACAGGGCATATCACCTCGTGGGTATGCCTAGATGGTAGTTGTTGCTGATACCCCCCCCCACACACACACACACACACTGAGAAAAGCAACAGTTCATGTGCCCCGAGCATGTCCAACTTGCGGAGAATGGGGCAGAACCTCACAGCATCTCATGACAACGATTTTCGGTCAGGATTCTAAGTGACAATCAACACAAACCAAGCTGGCTAACTTAAGCAAAACAAGCAAGCAAACGAACTCTATTCAGAGAACATTGGAGACTCTCTGGGAGGGCTGGAGAGCCAGGCTTGCAGGCTCTGAAGTCCAATTCCAAACTCAAGCTGAGGTCCGATGACAGACCTGAGACATCACAGAGCTGTTGCTGCACACAGACCCTTCGGCACCAAAGCTGTGGTCACTGGTGCTCTGGAAGTGCATGGGCTGTGGCCACGGCCACCTTCTTTATCAGAATGGTTTCTGCAGAGTCCCTACGTCTGCCGATTCACAGTCTGGTCAGTGTGTCTGACTGGGGTCAAGGGGGAGAGCGTAGGTTTTGTGCCCACACTTGGCTACAAGGCGACCGGGAGATGCTTGGGATTTCCACGTCTGCCATGGCGGTTGGGCTCTGCCTCCTTGTCATTATAACAAGGAGGGTTCTTTTCTAAATCCAGGGGAGGGATTCCAAGGGTAAGTATGTAAACTATTGGTAAATAACTTCCACACTGAGTCCCTGGACTTGGAGCATTTTCTGGATGAGAACACTGCAGCCCAGCCCAAGCCCCACGTCTAAACCACAGTCTGAACCCAAGTCAGCCCCACTCAGGCCTGCTCTCTTGGCCACTGTCTGGCCACTGTCTTGATGATGAGAACAACGCCCCCCTCGGCAGAGCCTCCCACACTCCAGCCCCATTTTTCTGACTCACTAAAGCTGGAGCTCCAGGGAGCCAAAGATTCATGTCTATTCTTCAGCTGTTGTTTGCAGAGAAAGGTTTCCTAGACTCCAAGCCATGGAGCTCATCCTTGGGATGAAGTTCCTGGGAGCGGGGGTCCCGGGATAGACCATTCTCCTGGCATGCCCTGTGTGTCTGTAGCAGAACGGACTTGTCCACAGCGAGGGCGGGTCTTCCTCCAGCACGAGCCACACTCAACGGACAGGGAAACAGAGAAGCTGGACACCATGCACACCACCACAGTTGTGTATGCCGTTCCATTCATTTATTCCACGGACTGCTCTGCAGCAGTATGTTCCTCATTCCCCCTGAAGCCCCATGAGACCAAGAGCTACCTTTCTGCAGGTGGCACCCCTGTGGACACTGGAGTCAGCTCTCTGGGGTTGGGCCCCCCGTGCTACCATTTACCCGCCTCTCCCTACTTCTCCTCTTCATGCCTTGACGTCCTCTTTTGTAAAAGCAGAACACTAAAGAGTTGTTGTGAGAGTTATCAATATGCTTGATTGATAGTAGGTGTTCAATAGAGATCATCATCAGTAGCAGGTCAGGCAGCATCCTGACAGTGTAGAGAATAGATCTATTAGGGTCTAAGTCTCGGTCTCTTACTGACTTCCTCATCTCCACCCTCCCTTCCTCTGAAGCATTCGGGTGAACACATCGCTGATTGGTCCACGCTAGTTATCTGGCCAAAGTGCAGGCGGGGAAGCGATGCCCACAGTGGGGGGCAGGCCGGGGCGGGAGTCCCTGTCCAGTGCTGTTTCCAACCTTCTCCCAGGCCCCTGCTCTTCCCCTAAGAATTGACGAATGATGTCATGATTTTCTGGTGCATAATTTCTCTCTGCACCAGACTCCAGCCACCAAGAGCACCAAAGACCCCAAATCCATAGGCCAGGGGTCAGCAAATGTGGTACGTAAAGGGCCAGATTGTAAGTAGTTTAGGCTCTTTGGCCCACGGGTCTCTGCTGCGACCACCCCTCTCTGTTGTTGCAGCAGGAACGCACGGGCCACGTGTAAAGAAAGGCTGTGCAGTGCCCAGTGAGACTACTTGCAAATACAGGCAGCAGGCCAAGCTTGGTCCATGAACGTCGTTTTCAGACCCTTGCCGTGGACAATGAGCTTCTCCCTGTAAGGGGCTACCTCATGTTTGTTTCTTGCTGCATAGTGCTAAAGCAACATCCAGGGGAGCATGTCCTATGTCCCCACACCCTACCTTTCCCCCAGAAGGACTTGAGCTACATGCCACCTTAATACAAGGAAAACAGGTAGATATTTCCCAGCACGGTCTGAAAGCAAGGTTGGGAGTCATGAAGATGAGAGCAAGGTTGGGGGTCATGAAGATGAGAGCAAGGTTGGGGTCATGAGGATGAGAGCAAGGTTGAGGTCATGAGGATGACAGCAAGGTTGGGGTCATGAAGATGACAGCAAGGTTGGGGTCATGAGGATGACAGCAAGGTTGGGGTCATGAAGATGACAGCAAGGTTGGGGTCATGAAGATGACAGCAAGGTTGGGGTCATGAGGATGACAGCAAGGTTGGGGTCATGAAGATGACAGCAAGGTTGGGGTCATGAGGATGAGAGCAAGGTTGGGGTCATGAGGATGAGAGTAAGTTTGGGGTCATGAAGATGACAGCAAGGTTGGGGTCATGAAGATGACAGCAAGGTTGGGGTCATGAGGATGAGAGCAAAGTTGGGGGCCATGAGGATGACAGCAAGGTTGGGGTCATGAGGATGAGAGCAAAGGCAAGGGTTTGGTTCCAGTAGAGAGTGTGATTGTGAGAAATCATCATCATCATCACCCGCCTTGAACCTCACACAGCAGAGGTGCAGGCGAGGCTCCTAAAGACCACCTCACTCAATCTGTTCGAGTTATAGAGGGTAAACTGAGGCCCAGGAGAGGAAAGTGATTTGGTCAGCTTTACGAAGCAAGTTCTCACCACAGCTCGGACGCTTGGACGGCAGCCTGGTTTCCTTCCTTTTGGTCCAAGGCTCTTGCCAGCACACCACTGGGCTAACACCAAGCCTTTATTACGGACCATAGGTCCTGAAATCAATGGCGGAGAGGAAGACAGCTAACCCCCTTCTGCATTTAAAAACCCAAGGCCTGGCCTAGGACGGCTCAGTCCTCCCAGCCTCCACACCTTCCCTGTCTTCCCTCCACAGCAGGGGTGGGACACCGCTGTTGTGTGGCTCCGCCCCTACTGGGTGCCACGGAGGTAGTAGGTGCTCAGTAAGTGCGTGTTGAGAACGGAATAAAGGTAAATAGTAATGGGAAAGGCCTCGTGGACTCACAATTTACCGGGAGAAGGTCTACAGGCACCCCTGTCATGCACTGCAACTGTGAGGACCCCGTGCCCCTTCCTCCCCCGTCGTCCTAGAAAATTGCCTTTCGGTGAGAAACCTTCCCAGAACTGTTTGCATTCCCTCCGCAGGCCCCTTCCCTCCTCAGATAGAGCACCTCTGTCTTTTGTACTTGCAAATGAATTGTGATTAGTTTTCACCTCCAGCCCAGGGGATTAGCCGGGGACCTTTGATCTTCAGGTATCGATTTGCATCTTAAAGGAAGTATGATCTCATCTGGACCAGCTCAAAATTCCATCCCTGCCCCCCAACCCCTGTCTGTTTACCAGCCCTAGGCTGCCCAGGGCCTCCCAAGTGAGGCTGAAACAACAAGATCAGCCAGGCTCCCAGAGAAGGCAGAGGGAAGGTGGGAAAAGGTTTGCTTTCCAAACACAGGCTGGTCTGCGACTCCCGCGCTGAGCCGGAGAAACGCCCAAGGTTGTGAGCGTGTCGGGGCACCAGGGCGGTCCCTGGATCCCGGCGGGAGGTTGCAGAGCAAAACGAACTGAGCACATGCTTAAGAATCAGACAAAATGAGGTCCAAGTCCTGGTTCTGCCTTGAATCGCTTCTAACCTGTGCGACTCTGGGTAAACCGTATCATCTCTCTGCCTTTTGATTTTTCTCATCTCTAAAGTAAGAACAAAAGCCTTAAAAATCCATACTAATAACCATCCTGGACAGCTGGTGTGAAGAATAATGTGTGTAAGGCAGTAAATGCGTGTAAGGCAAAGTTAGAGCAAAAAAGAGTCAGCGGTCCTCCCCGGCAGAGATGAGGGCGGGGAGGTACTTGCCTGGCCCGTTTCCATTGCTGTACTCCCTGGTGCCTAAACAGTGCCAGGCTCGTAGGGCGCACGCAGTGCCTCTTTGTAATCAAAGGAGTGAAGCATCATGTAGTCACAACTGCTGCTGTTATGGTGCTGGTCAGGGCTTCCTCCCTGTTCAGGCCTCCAGCCAGGCCCAGGGAAAGGACAAAGACTCACCAATGCAATTGAAGGAAACTTCCAGCCGGCAGAAAAGGGAGCAGCCGTCACCGTTGATCTTGTTCATGTCATCGCACTGTTCGCCTTGGCTTCTGCAGAACAGACACAGAAGAGAAAGGTATGGTGTCAGCCCCAGAACCACAGCCAGCCTGGCAAAGTGCCTCCCGGCCACGAGCGTTCCCCGAGGCCGCAGGCAAGTCCCCTTCCCTGGGCGAAGTCTGTTTCTTCGCCATCAAGAAGAGACACCCGAACGGTAGAAATGCAGAAGATCCCGGGCCCCAAGCCTTCTTTCCTGTTTCAAATTCATTCTCTGAGACCTTGTCAGTTAAGTTAGCCAGTCAGATGGATGAAGGAATGAACGAGTGGACGGAGAGACCTCGCTGTACTGTGGAAAATGTCACTGCCATCTTAAGAGGTGGATTTAAAAAATAAATTGTAGGTTTTCGAAAATATAAATGCTGTTCTTCACTAAGCCCTGTCTCAACCCCCTCCCTCAATGCCCTTGAAGGTCAGGATTATTTGTCCCGTTCACATGCTCAGGCTGGGTCCTCCTTTTATCAGGAAGCTTTGTCTTCTCCATGGGGTGTGCCGTTTCCCCGTGTCAAGAAAGCCTAGGCCTGTGGAACTAGGCTTCTAGGAAGTAAAATGCCTCCTCTTGTTTATGTTAGGAATTGTTTTCACCACCTAAGGAGGATTCTGCAGAGGCTAGGATGGGAGGAAATGAGCAACTCTCTCTGAATTGGACTTAGGAGAAGAGGAGAAATAATAACAGAAAGATTGACGAACTGCTGCTTTTTAAAACAGTCCCATCCTTGGAGGAAAAAACAAACAAACTTGGGGTTTGATCCCCATATTCCGAAGCAGCTGTGTGATCTCCACCAAGTCACTTGATCTCTCTGATCTTTCTATCTCTGACAATCTAAACCGGTGAAAATGAAAAGTAATGTAAAATTCTGCGGCCCAGTCACAGTGGCCACATTTCAAGCGCACGGTAGCTGGGTGTAGTTTGTGACTACTGGGTGGGACAGCACAGGATATATGTCCATCACTGCTGAAAAAATCCACTGGAAAGTGCTATTCTAGATGCTGAATTTCAGTTTTCTCACAGGTTAAAACGGAGGTAATCATACCTACTCCTTAGAGTGGACACATGAAGGGAATGTAACTTCAAGTGACCGACATGGTGTGGGACATACAGTAGATGTCAGGAAATCACCATCCCACTCTGGCCTGGGAGGTCTCTGCAAAGTGTGTGGCAGCTGTCCCTCCCTCCCCAGAGACCAGCTGGGACCTGTCACAGCATGGAAGAGGCCTCAGACTTTTCCTTTCACCCGGGCAATTAATACTGGGACATGTTTGTTGCTTTTAAGAGGTGTCAGAGTAGCAGGATGGTGCCTTGCCATCAATCCTTAGGAAGGCTAGGGCATTGCACTGGTCTCGATGCACCACCCAAAGCTCCCTTCTGTCTGCGAACCTGTGAGCAAAGAAGAAATACAAATTCCAAGCTGGGCCCCCTTCCAGTCTCTGTCAGTGAACCGTGCATGTTGGAAATTGGTGACGGCCCTGTGCTTCTTAGTTCTTTCATGGGTTATCTGGGGAGAGCTTTTTTTAAAAAAAACAAAACAAAACAAAACAAAAACAACAACCTGGGCTGGGTTCCCGAAGCCACAAAGAATACTTCTAAACTGCCTTCCCTCACCACCCAAACAGTGTGTTCTATTGGTTTCAGCATAACATTAGGGCCACCACAAGTATCTTCTAGGCACGAAAGATCTATCATTAGAGAAGCTCTGGAAATCCTGCTTTGACCCCACAGGCTGAGGCGAGTGGCCATCTTCTCGGTGACCAAAGACACAGACTCAATCTGTCACAGCACTCGGCACACGCCTGCCTTTGCCTAGGCTTTAAGGTGCCAGAGGCAGTGACGGTGTCTCTGTCATCCTGGCTCCCCGGGGCCTCGCCCAGTGCCTGGGACATGGCAGAGTGCAGGTAGCTGCTCCTTCACTTGTCAGTTCTGCATGGCCGGCGGCCACACCGCGAGGCAACGGTGAGCCCGGATGAAAACCTGGGCCCTGGATTCACATCCTGGTTCTGCTCCTTACTGGGCCTGCAAGGCTGAGAAAATCACTTGAATCTCTGTGCGCTGGCTGTCCCTTTTGTGAAGTACAGAAATAGGACCCACGTCATATGGTTGTTGGAAGAACCCAAGGAGATGATCATGGAGCACAGTGCCCCGGGTACGATAGAGGCTCAGTTCATGTTTATGAGTATTATTACTGTTGTCATAATAGTCATCCAGTGTTTTCAACCATTAGGGGCCTCACTGAGTGTGGAATCTATCTGTATGTCGTTGTCAATTATCTTCACACATACACACACACACAGAGCAAATTAACATGTCTCATCCCTTGAAAATCCAATTAGCTGAGATGCCATCCCTCCTCTCCTTCAAAGTTGTGTTATTTGTTTTCATTGTTGGATGTTTGTTTGCTTGTTTTACTTAGGGAACTACTCATTCGCTGTATTCAGCTCCTGCAAAACGTGTCAACAATTATTAGGTAGCCGCAGGTAACTTAACAAGTACTGGGTGTCTACACAGGATACCCATTCCAGGTAAACACACCAAAAAAGTCTGTTGTCAAGAATGTTCTTAAAATGAATGATAATCAAGTTCTAGACCAGCGAGAGGAATGACCTGTCTGCAGGGTTTTACCGATGCGTCTACATTGGCTCCCAAATGGAGAGACGGAGTTGGAGATCAAGTTCCACACCGAGCCAGTTTCCTTTTTTATTCTTTGTGCTAAATTAGAAAATCCCAAATCCCAATTATGGGTTTTCAGCAATGACCGCAAGTGTTTCCTGGAGATTCTGGATCCGCTGCTCCATCGTGGTCCCACAAATGATGGGGCACTTTCCCTGGGGCCCGCCCGGCGCAGCTGCTCGGCAGTGCCGCAGACGACGTGTGCAGACAAGCTAGAAGCTGACATCTTCATGGCAGAGAACAGCGAGTGACCTCCCTCCCCCGATGTCAGGACCTTAGCTGGACACTGTATTTGCGTGTTTGGTTGTTGCATCTGGGCGTGAGTCTTAAACACACCCGGCGGCGCATCATGGATTTCATCCTCTGACACCTGAGGAGCTGCGTTTTCTACGCTTCAGGAGGGAAATTCTTGGCAATCAGGTGGTTTGCCCTTTCTGATTCAACATTTAAGACTCTTTACATTATCTCCTCAGTATTAAAATCTCAACCGTTCAGCTTTGAAACCATAGTCGCGGGACTTGATGATATGAATAGATACCCGGAGATACGCCACTTTTCAGCAAACCACTTGAAATCTTGCAAATAATCATTACTGGCTTTATCAGTGAAACATTTGTTGAATAATGTCATTCCTTATTTCAAGAACTTGAGTTAGTACCTTTCTTCTTCTTTTTTTTTTTGTTCATCCACACTCGAGGATATTTTTTCCAGTGACGTTGTCCAGAGAGAGAGAGTGGATGGGAAAGGGGGAGGGAGCAGGGGAGGGGGAAGAAATAGAGAGAAACACTGATGTGAGAGAGACACACCACTTGGTTGCCTCTCGCAGGAGCCCTGACTGGGACTTGGGATTAAACCTGCAAGCCAGGCACATGCCCTTGACCAGGAATTGAACCCCCAACCCTCCAGCACACAGGCCAACGCTCTAACCACTGAGCCACGCTGGTTAGGGCAAGCGAGTTCCTTCCTTGTGTCAATGCGCTTCAGTGCGTGTGCTGTGCAGGGAGCAGAATACTTTCCCACTCGCATCTTTTCCCACAGTACGTTGGAAAGACCCAACTCCCTGGCCCTCATGGGATCCAATTCACAACATTCCCTGTTCCCTTCAATGCTAAGTCACAGGCTACTGCTGGTCAATACCTGAGGTCTGTGTGGAGGACTATTCATATGCAAACTCTTGCATAACTGTGTCAGTCTTGCGGTGCTCCTAGCTGGTCCTTCCATCTCAATGCAGGGCTCCAGTGTACAATACACACCACACAGTCATCAGGGTCGAATCCAACCACTCTGCCCTCCAGCACGTGTGTCCATGATGAACTGAGAGCAGCCGACATTTAGCACGTCTCTGTCATGTATGTGCTACACCTACGAGCGGATGCCCGCTCTGCACATCAGTGCTTCCATTCAGCTGTGAAATACGTTCTCTCCACAGCGCCCCTCCCCCTACAGAAACAGTCATTACAGTCTCATGTTCCACGGATATTATGTGACACCCAGCAGCGCCGTTTAATGAAGGAATTTTGCCAATAGCATGTTGTGCCATCTCCACACGAAATGTTTATCATTCACTTGGCCAACAGTTTTAGAAGTCTTAGCAAGAATGCGACTTGCAACGACGTTAGTGATACAAAACACCAATTTAGTGACGAGGAACTTAATGGTGAATGATGTCTGGTCTCTTCTTCACCTCTAGAGACCTATTCGATGTTGTGCCAGAAAACAGATTTCTGTGCTTGTTCTGGAGAAAAAAACTGAAAGGTTTACTTTTATTTATTTATTTATTTTTAATCCTCACCCGAAGACTTTTTTTTTTTTTTTTTTTGCATTTTATCTTCAGACAGAGTGGGAGGGAGAGAGGGAGGAAGAGAAAGAGAGAGAAACATCGATGATGTGAGAGAGACACATGGAGTGGCTGCCACCCACACGACCCCAACCTGGGCCGGGGACAAACTGCAACCGAGGTACGTGCCCTTAGCGGGAACCGAACCCGGGACTCTCGGGTCCGCGGGCCGATGCTCTCACCGCTGAGCCAAACTGACCAGGACACAAAGGTTTACTTTTTAAAAAGATAATGCAGAAGTCTTGATGGCTTCCTGCCCCTATTTTGTGGTTGCATAACATCTTGCCCGGTGGACAAGGGGAAGGACGGACTGCTGATCCAATTAAACCCACATTTACACATCCAGCTTTATGTTTTCTGATCACACTTTTCCTTTCTGGCTGCTCGTGGGGAATCTTTACACTCACCAACTAATTTGCCTCCCTGAACTCTGTACATATCTTCACGTTCAACATTCACTCTGGAGTGCATTAGAGTGAGTTGGACTATCTGGGTATTTTTATGAGCCTTTGACTCATTTTGTAAATTGTTGATATAATCCGATACAACAGAATAACAAATAAATATGCGGTTTTAACAGATGTAGCTGGTAAGCAGCAAAGAATGCGAAAGTGCTTTGACGGCGATGCACTGTGACCTGTTAGCTGACCAGGGGCTGGGCTGGGAACGAAGAACAGAATCCTGGGGCGTGCGTCACCCACGGAGGACAGGGGCACACGGCAGCCGGCGCACGACGGCTGCCCTGCTGCGATCCCCATGCTCCGTGCTTGAGAAAGGTGTGCGTTCGCTACATCATCCTTGCTTTTCTTCTGAGAGGAGCACACTGCTGCAGACAGACTGACAGACAGCTAGGGGCTGCTGGTAACTCCCAGCGGCCATGCTGAAGGATATCTATCCCATACGCTCTTCTCTCAGGCACGCTGACCATCTCTTGGCTCCATTCACACCCCCGCCCCCCTTTGTTAGTTCGATCTACTTACTTCTGGATGATGCCATCGCCACAGTACCCACTTCCATGGGTGTACACGGCCGCGGGTGATGGCTCACCTTCCTCGCTTCCGGAAACAGTGATGACCCGGTACTGGTACACACTGCCAAGACTTAGGTCCCTGGAAAACAGACAGGTGACAATCAACTATGCACGCTCAGTGGGGGGAGGGGCCAGACAACACCCACCCCTGTGGTACCCTCTCTCAGCCCTGCTTATTTTTGAAATCACAGCACATTCAGTTACCCAGTCACTTCTGTGGTCACTGTGGCGACGGCACTTGTCCATCCATGATGGGCTACACCAAAACGTACAAGTAGGAGGAGCATCCGCCCACAGGTGACAGACTGTGCACGTTACTAGATACTGTTTATTGTTGTTAACCTTTACAGTGACCCTGGTGGGTAAGAATCAGATGGGATAGGCCCGCAATGAAGATGTGGGAGAAGGCCACCCAGGGAAAATACATGGAATAGCCAAGGCGCAGACACCGTGCCAGATGCTGTGGGCATTGTCTGATCTGTCCCCGTTGCTGAGACCTGAGCCGAAACCCACTGCAGGCGAGGAAGCCCCTTCCTGACGATGCACATCCAGGGATCCGCTCCCTCCCTTCTCCCTGTGTCTGTCACTCTTCGCCACCACAACAATACTACTAGCTGCGTCCATTAATTGAATGTCAGGCCTGGGGCTAAGCACTTTCCCTGTATTTTCTCATTTGAGCATCAAAACCGTCTTACTTGTGTGCTAGTGTTTTTGTCTCTATTTTACAGATGAAGAGTCTGAGGCAGAGAGAGCTCAGGCATCCAGCTTACACTCACATGGCACCAAATGACATTCTGCGTTCTGCTTCCCTAATCCCTGGCTCAGGCCTGCTTGAGTCATGTCACCCCTCACAAGGAGGGTGCCATCTACGAACAGCCACTCCAGGCCCCGGGGGCCGCCAGATTTCCAGCTGGCCTCGATTTCACCTCCTCACTCTCCGGACCTCCCGGGTCAAGGCCCGTGCTGCCTGCTCACACTCAACCTTATGCCGGTCACCTCCCTCCCTTAGGTGGCCCGTTTGGCTCCCCGCTCGAATTCATCCTGCCGTCAGAGGATCCTGGCTCCTGCCAGTTACCCTTCATGGCCGTTATATGGGTATCAGTTCCCCATGAACAAATCACCATCCCCATTTCCTCTTCGACCACCGTCAAAGGAAGGAGTTATTCCTTTCCCTCCTGTCCCTCTGCATCAATTATTTACTTATTAATAGTAAAAAGGTGCCAGGGGGCCTTACCAAATGGTAATGAAGAGAATTCCTATCAGATTCCAGAGTTGGGGCGGGGGTTGGCTTTATAAACAAAAGGATGATGTCAAAAAGTCTCTAGTGCTCCTGCCCATCTGCTGTGTTCAGCTGTTGCCAAGGCCGTGGCGGTCTGGGTAAGGCCGGTGGGGTGACAGGTGTGGGCCACGCACACAGCCTGTCCTGGCTCCCCACTCCACGACGCACTGAGTCTACGAGCCCTGAGGGCTCTGGGCAGGAGCACAGCCTCCTGAGGATGTTGGGCTTATTACCTGAAAGAGACTTTGTGTTCGCAGTGCTGGAGCAGACAGTGATACGATGGGTAGACCAGAAGTCCCTAGGGATTCCATTAGTGCTCTGCCAAACAGCACAAAGATCTGAAGCTATCGGAGGGATGGATGTGTACATAACCATTGCCGTGTCAACCTCTGGAATGCTAATTTGTTGATAGAATTATATATTTTCAGTTTCCTTTTCTTTAAAATTTGGGTTGATTCAATATTTTATCCACCTCTACACTTTGCCTGATGCCACTTCTAAAACTGGAATACTGTTGTGGGGGACAGATTGTGTTTCCCAGGGGACACAGGAAGGCACCAGTTATAAATGACATGCATTCTACAGTACATTCGTGCATTTTGCTCTGAAATACGGAGGCACGTTTTATATTAAACACATATAACCATGTTATGGCCTGAAATGAATTTTCTTGCTGCTCCCTCCTGGGCCACTGGGCACCTCTTGGCCCCTCTCTGCAGCACACAGAACACGTGTGTGATGCGTGAGTGTGAAAATCCTTCTCTATACCGTGTTTCTCATTCTGTGGCAGTGTCACAAATGATGTATGGCTGATACTGTTTAAGATGTCGTGATAATCTTTCTCAATGTTCTCCTCCTCCTCACCCGCTCTCCTGCCCTCCTCCTCCTCTTCCTCCTTCTCAATAAATACAACTTTGAGGCAAACAAATATGTGTTTCTGGCCTGACGTCACCACGTACTCCTGTGAGTCGGGCAGCTTCCCTGCTCTGAGCCTTCCCCACAGCGTGTTCCTACACACTGAGTATGAGAACACACTAAGCACATCTGTGCCCGCCTGGGACAAATAGTTCCTCAGTAGGAACCCAGTATCTTTAGTTATCGACATTCTTAAGGAACTGAGCCGCAGACCACTATGCATACCTTGGTTAGGTGAGCCTGTGGAGACGGGCCACCGCCTACCACCTGTTTCATATCCCGATGGAAAGTCTCCACCACGTCCCTTGGTCCTTTGGCCAGAACACCCTCCGCGCCTGCCTGTGGCCGCCTTTGTTGTCTGGTGGTGATTCCCACGTCAGAAAATCCCGATCCCACGTTTGTCTTTTCCCTGGGGCAGAATCTGTCTCCCAGTAAGTTCCATCCACGTCCTCCTCCGGACCACCAGTGCCGCGTGGCACCCGGGTGACTGGCAGAGACGCCTCGCTAACCCTCCCCCCTGCGCATGGCTCATGTATCATCACCTCCCGGCAGACTGGGGCCGCGATCGCGTTTTCACGTAGGAAAACAGAAGCCCAGCTCACTCCCTTCATAACAAAGGCAGGGAAGGGGTAACAGGGTACAACTTATGGAAAAGATTACGTTTTCCCACTGAAGAATTCTTAGAAGAAAACGACATTTTCTCCAAGTTAAACTCCAAATGAATGCTGAACAAGGGCTCTTTGCTCAGGAGCCCAGGTAGAACGGAATTCCCTCGGGACCAGCGAGTCCCTTCTGCAGGCTTGGCCGGAGGTTAGGACCTATTTCACGGTTGGTTTAAAAGTAGGACGTTTATTTCACGTTGTTCCTTTCAGCTGCTGCTAAAACCATCTGGAAAGTCTTACCCTGTCACTCGAACGCCTTCCCCTCCGTGCCTCCCACATCCAGCCAGCCCCTAGCCCTGTCAAGACTTCCCACCCACAAGCCTCCACATCCTTCCCTCTGCATCCCGGCCGCCTCCAATATCTCAGCCTTGACAGCGGAAGCAGCCTCGGATTTGCCCTCCTGCCTCCAGAGCTCCCTCCCATTCTCTCCAACACCGTGAGACTACCTGAGACCCAACGCCACTCTCCATCCCCAGTGCAGGGATGAGCAAGCCGAAAACTGCCCGCCTGTACTGGGTCTGCAGGAGCCCAGATGTTGCCACTGCATCTGGAGCGCGACGAGTGTCACGACTTCTGCTTTCTTTCCCCGAATTCGGAGTGCCGTCTTCAATGCAAAAGAGAAGCAGACCCCCCCCTGATACCCAACCGTCCACTCTTCAAACCTCTTCTCACGTTGGTTTCCCGTTTCCAGCTCACAGATTTAGGTTGCAGTATTTAAATGTGACGAGATCGCTTGGCTTCTGGAGGCCGGGTTGGTTTTGGAGGTTTATTCTGTGCATCCTTCGTATGACTTTACAAAACGCTTTTAACAGGTAGCTGTCCTTTCACAAATGTTGCCAATGACATACCTGTCTCAGGTTGGCATTTCTGGCAAACAGAAACAAAAATACTGACGTTCTTCACTGGTCTGATGTTTCCATACTTCTTCTTAGCAATGTCATATTGATGGCAATTTGTATCAAATTTGGGGTATGAGTTTATAGGAAGATTTAGTTACAGATTATAAAAGTGTGGATATACCACACTTTATTTGACCACTCTTCTCTTGCTAGACACCTAGGCTATTTCTATTATTTTTACTATCATTATTATCGAACCATTTTGGTTATTTTTCCAATAATGTTGCTTTAAATGTTTTGTGTGCATGTTCCTTTGTCCGTAGACCAAGAGTTGTCTGAAGGAAATACATTCAAAGTGGTGTCACCGGGTGGAAGGCCATCGAATCTTCAAGTTCATTAGATACTGGCAAATTGGTTTCCAAGGTTGTACTAATTATCATGCCTACCAGCAGACTCCCCATTGCTCCGGGTCCTGGCCAGCGCTCGACTCTGCCAAGCATTTACTTTTTTGCCCATCTGATTAGCATTAAATGACATCTATAGGCAGTCTTCTATTTTGCCTTCCCCTGATTATTAACAGGACTGGCTCTCATGCCATGTGTTTGTTGACCATGTCAGTGTCTAGCTGAGTTCACTGTCTGTTCATCGCCTTTGCCTGTGGTAAAGTGGGCTCTTTTTCTTTGCTGATAGGTAAGTGTATTCACGTCTACCGGATACCAACCCTCTGCAGTCACAGGTCCTGAAAAACACCGCTGCCACCTCGGGACCCCTATTGTTTGATTTTGTTTGTGCTGCTTTGTTGAGCAGAGATTTAAATCATTTCCTTCATGATTTGTGCTTTTCATGTCTTGTTGAATAAATGTTTCTTCACCCCAAGGTCATAAAATAGTCTCCTCTATTTCCTTTGAGTAGTTTTAAGGTTTTTATTTTCACATGTATGGCTTCAATCACGTACAAGGTGGTTTTTTTAAAAAAATGATGTGAGTTAGGATTGTTTTGCCCCTAAATATGGATGAACCATTTGTCCAGCATCATGTCTGTAGTAGTAAATTCTTTCCCTACCGAAGCGTAATGCCTCCCTCGCCATATATCACTCAGGACTTAGACGAGTTTGTTTCAGGCTCATCTTGTTTCATTGGTCTACTTTTTCCCTTCTATCTTACCCACTACAGTCTATTTTAACTTCCACAGTTTTACAGAAGCACTGATTTATGCCACAGATCTATGCTAAAGAGACCTCTTTGCTCTTCCCTGTGAATTTTAAGTTTCATTTTTTTAAATGCCTGTTGAGATCGCAATTCCAGTTTCATTGACTTTATACTTGAAGAGAAAAGAGATCATCACACCGCGCCCTTCCATTGAGACACACAGTTTTATTTTGTTA